GACCCTAAACCCTTAACCCTAAACCTAGAACGCTAAACACTAAACCCTAAATACAAACTCTAAAGTCTAAACCCTAAACCCTAAATCCTAAACTCTAAAGCGTACATCCTAAACCCTAAACACTAGATCCGAAACACATAATCCTATCAATCCCTAAACAATAAATCCTAAACCCTAAACCCTGAATATTAAAATCTAAACCCTAAACCCTAAATACTAACTCCTAAACTCAAAACCCTAAACTGTAACCCTAAATCATAAACCCTAAACCTAAACCCTACATCCTAAATTCAACCTCTAAACCCAAAACCGTAAACCTTAAAAACTAAGCCATAAACCCTAAATGCTAAATTCAAAATCCTAACCCTAACCTTAAGCCCAAAAACTAAAACAGAAACTCTAACCCTAAACCCAAAACCCTAATTCTAAACCTAAACCCTAAACCCTAAATCCTAAATTATAAACCTTAAACCCTAAACCATAAACCCTAAATCCGAAGCTCAAAATCCATAAACCCTAATACCTAAACAATAAACCCTATATTCAATCCCTAAACAATAAATCCTAAACCCTAAACCCTGAATATTAAAATCTAAACCCTAAACCCTAAATACTAACTCCTAAACTCAAAACCCTAAACTGTAACCCTAAATCATAAACCCTAAACCCTAAATTTAAACTCTAAACCTTATATCCAAACTCTAAACCCTAAACCCTAAATCATAAATCCTAAATTCTAAACCCTAATCCCTAAACCCTAAATCCCAAACTCAAATAGCTAAAACCTAAACCCTAAACCCTAAATCCTATATCCTAAACTCAAAACCCTAAACCCTAATCCTAAACCATATCCTTAAAACTTAAATCCAAAACCTAAACCATAAACTCTAAATACAAACTCTAAACCCTAAACCATAAATCCTAAACCTTAAACTATAAACACTAAACCCTAAGCCTTGAACCCTTAACCCCAAACCCTAAATCCTAAAATAATAACACTAAACCCTAACCCTAAACACTAACCCCTAAACCCTAAACCCAACCCTATATCCTAAACTCAAAACCCTAAACCTAATACTAAACCCTAAACACTAAACCCTAAACACAATCCCTAAATCCAAACTCTAAACCCTAAACAATAAATCCTAAACCTTAAACCCTAAACCATAAAGCCTAAACCTTAAACCCTAAATCTTAAACTCACAACCCTAAATCCTAAACTCCAAGCGCTAAACCCTAATTCCAAACTCTAAACCCTAAACCCTAAGCCTTGAACGCTTAATCCCAAACCCTAAACCCTAACCCTAAATCCTAAACTCACAACCCTACACCCTAGTCCATAATCACTAAACCCTAAACCTTAAAATTAAACCCTAAACCCTAAACCCTAAACCTAAATTCTAAAACCTAAATACTAAACCCAATAAACACTAAGCCCTTAACCCTAAACCCTAATCCTTAAACCCTAAACTCTAATCTTTAAACCCTAAACCCTAAACCCTAAACACTAAACTTTCAACCCTAAACCTTAAACGCTAAACCCTAAACCATATACTCATCGCCATCTCATTTCCTAACTTTTTTCTCTCTCTAAAAAATTCTCTCTAAAAATTCACTCTAAGACTCTTTTAATAGCAGTCTACCGGAATGGCCACAGAGCCGCCGGAAAAGCAGCTCCGACCGTCGGACCAAGCCACATCGACGCGGAACTCCAACAGCTACAAACCCCAACCAGGCGCTTCACCTGAATCTTCAGACAACTCTTCGAAATTGTGACGCAATGAGGCGATCCCTGTCGCAATTTCGGAAGAAGAGTTAGACTGGGCACAGAAAATCATTTCCTTAGAGCAATCTGGAATGATTCATGTTAATTCGTCTAGAAATAATGAATCACCACCCAAAGATCTACCTGCAATCGAAAAATCACACAGTTCCTCCGTGCAGATTGGGAGATCCGCGATGGCGAATCCAGGCGAAATCGCTGAAAAATCACCGCAGCTTCGCCCTCGAATTCGAATAGCTTCTGATGAAATGAATGATAGTTCAACCACTGGGGAATCTTCCCCATATCAAGGAGTACATCATACTCCAATCTTGACTCGTTTGGATGGTGGAATCGCCGGCGGCGTAAATTCCGTCCAAATCACTGGCAATCCGGTCAACAATGGTGAAGAAATCTTACACCAAACGAATCCCAGTGACAAGGACAACATTCATGAGGTAACAGAGCCACTAATTCAACACGAAACTAACAATGGTGTTGTTGCTAACTTGCAGGTCAAAGTTGCAGCACAACTTGAGGATCACAACTCAATCGATGAACTGGAGTCAATTCAAAATATGAATAAGCTGAAGCAAAGAAATCAAAGTATGGAAACAAGGATACAAGAAAAAGAAAAGTGTAATCCTAATGAGACCTCTGATGAGGCTATACATGAAGGAATGCAAAGGAATCAACAAGCTGTACCAAAACAAACTACAGGAGAAAAGGCTATCTGGAAGCTGAAAGAGAAGCCTAACACAAATGAAAAAACAATGCAACAAAGCAAAACTCATGATGGAAACAATCGTAGCATGAATGCAGGTAAGTTACCTAACTCTAAGCTAAACGTTAATGATCATGTTAATCTTCCTTCCAATAATTCTAGTAGTAGCCAAAATGTGCATGGAAAAGGCCATGTTGTGGTGCAGACGGGAATGAATGCAGGGGAAACAGAACCTGTAAAAGGAATACAATATGATCATAACCAAGTTCCATCTAAGATTCCCCCTCCTCTTAAAGTGTCTTCTAATTTTGATGGATATAAATCTACTCAGCAAAAAACCGATCAAAATAGTCTTGAACAAAACCACAACAAGCTTCCTGTCATCAGTTCCACCAACAGAAATAACAACCAAATACCAGATCCTGCCCCACCAACCGTAACTCAAACTTTTGCCTCTAGACTTCGAGCTAACCAAATGAAAAATGCCACGCCCTTGGTCATTGATCAACCTATTATTACCACACGACAAGGATACCCCTCCATAACCTTCTATGAGAAGGATTTCCTGCAGAAGATGTTAGGCAGGTGCAAGTATACCTTGGTTGGTAAGTTCCTCAATGCTATGCCTAGAATGGAATTAATTCAAAAAAGCTTTATTGCACAAACTCAGCTCATTGGAGGTGTCAAGATAGCACACTTTAACTCTAGGCATATCTACATTGACTTAGATAATGAAGCTGACCATATTTCTGTCTGGACAAAGCAAAGAATGTTCATTGCAGGTCAATCTATGAAACTACAGGTGTGGACTCCTACCTTCAAACAGGCGGAGGAAACTCCTATAGTTCCTATTTGGATTACGCTGCCGGAATTGCCTTGGCATTGTCACTATATGGATATCCTTACTCCGCTTCTGTCCCCTATTGGAAAAGCCCTTTATCTTGACTCGGCAACTATGCAAAAAACTAGAGGTAGTGTTGCGAAGGTTCGAGTTCAAATTGACCTCACTAAATAGAGACCACAACATGTTTGGTTGGGTTTCTCAGAGAAGGATCCTAATCTAGCCAATTGGCAACTAGTAGAATATGAAGATGTCCCTTCTTATTGCATATACTGTAAGCATCAGGGCCATATAATCAGTGAATGTACACAAAAAGAGAAAGATGATGAAACCAAGAAAAACAAGGAGCTGGAGACCAATAAAAGGGGACAAGACAAGCAGCAAAATCAGAACTCTAAAGGAAATCACCAACAAGTTCAAAACAGGGAGGATATGCACTCTAACAGGCAAGGCAGTGGAAAGGATCGTATTGAACACGCTTCTGAAAACAAGGAAGAACAATGGCAAGTTCAAATCAAGAGGAAAAATAGGAATCAAAACAAAAATCAGGAGCAGATAAAAAATGTACACTCACAGGCTCAGAAACAGCAGGCCAACCAATCTCAGCAGCAACATACAGGTCAACAAAAAGGTATGAAATCTAAAACCCATGTGCTGGAGAATGAGGAATCTGGTGACCAGATTCCTCCAAATCCCTCCCCTGTTGTAGTTGATGTTGATCATTGTGTCAATGATATCCCCATCCCTGTAATTCCCCCTGTTGTTGATATGGATCATTGTGATAACAATGATATCCCACCCCCTGTATCCCCTCTGGGTGCAGCTGTTGTAGTTAATGGAGGGAGGGTGGATGTTCAGGAGAAAACTTCTAACATGCAGGAAGGGGTTCCTAGGGGAAGGGTTATAGATCAAACCCCTGCTACCACACAGAATGATACTCCACTACATCAAAAACAGACCCATCAGATCAGTGAAGAAGGTTATGTAACACCAAAGCAACAGGTTCAGATCAGTAAAGAAACGCAAAACCAGCCCAAAGGTTCTATGGCCAAGGACATGGGAAACAAAGCAGGCCCAAGTAATCAGATGGAAACTCCTAAAAGTAAAAATAAGCCTAGCAAAAAGAAGAGGGAAGCTACCAGGAGGAAACAGGCAGAACAGAATCACCAGAAACAAGCTCACAATACCAGTCAACAGGAAGAAAATCATTGTACTGACTTCATAATGATGGATCAGATTATGGATGTGGTTCCACTTAATGCTAAGAAGCCTCCCGAACCATCCAGAGTCAATGTCAGAGATGAGTATGATGTAGAAAACTCTGAAGATGAATTTGATGCTGATAACTTTCCCATGAATGATATAGAAGAGGATGATGAGATTAGTGAATTATTAATCAAAGCTTTTAGCCCAAACAATGATAATGGGCTAGAAAAAGAGATTCAGCAAGTCACTAGTAAACAAGGACTCTCCCCCAGAGGTATCCACCTTGACAGACTTCCTCTCAAAAAACCTGATTCTCCTACTCCTGTGACAGCAGGAAGACCAAACACTAGACTCTTCACCTCTAAATCGTCTCAATGATTAGCACAATCATATGGAATGCTAGAGGAATCAATACCCAAGGCTTTATTGAAAGACTCTAAAATCTCAAAAATATCCATCATGTATCTATGATTGCTGTGTTAGAACCTTTCTCTGACAACAATAATATCAACATGTTTAAAAGTATGCTCGCCATGGATCATGCTGTTAGCAATATCAATGGAAAAATTTGGCTCTTTTGGAATTCTGATATTTCTTGTTCTGTATTAGAAGCTGATGATCAGCAGGTTACCTGTGAAATCAGCCACACTGAAATTCAAGGTAATTATATCAAGACCTTTGTGTATGCCAAATGCAAGGATTATCTCAGGAAACCACTTTGGGACAGATTACTTCACATTGCGGATACTAGAGATACCACCCCTTGGTGTACAGTTGGTGATTTTAATGTCATAACAGACATTGATGAAAAACTAGGTGTTATTCCTTACAATATGAGAAAAAGTCTTGAGTTCATTGGAGTTATAGAAGCTTGTGGACTCATGGATTTGGGCTTCAATGGACCTAAGTTTACTTGGTCCAATCAGAGGGGTATCAACTTCAGAATTTGGAAGAGATTGGACAGGGCAATGGTTAATGATAATTGGCTACAAAACATGCCTCATACTTGTATCACCCACCTCCCTTCTGTGGGGTCTGACCATTGTCCATTACTTATGGAAATGAATGCCAGGCCAGACAGTTGCATCAAATATTTCAGATTCCTGAACTGTTGGGTTGAACAACCCTCGTTTGAGGAGACAGTCGTTGACTGCTGGAACAGACCTGTCGAAGGAAATGCTATGTGGACTTTCCACCAGAAAATGAAGAGATTGGCGACCACTCTTAGTGCTTGGTCCAAAATGAAATTTGGAGACATTTATGCTAAGATTAAGGAGTTTGAAGAACGAGTCAAGATAGCAGAAGACAACCTCCTTCAGAACAACACTGAGGAAAATAGAGAAGACCTTCATAGTATTAATGCTGATTATATTAAATACATGAAGCTTGAAGACTCTATCCTTAAACAAAAATCTCAACTACATTGGTTCAAAGAAGGTGATGGCAATTCCAAATACTTCCATGCTTTGATCAGAGGAAGAAGAAGAAGATTATTTGTCCACAAAATCCTCAATGAGAATGATGAATGGATTCAAGGAGATGATCAGATTGCTCAGACTGCTTGTGACTACTTTCATCACATTTTCACAGGTGAGGAAAAATTGATTGATGAAATTCCTATGCAATGCATTCCAAGAATGGTCAGCCAAGAACATAACGACAGCTTGAAAAGAATCCCTTCCATGGAGGAACTCAAGGAAGTGGTTTATTCCATGAGCCCCAACTCAGCTGCTGGACCAGATGGTATGAATGGGTACTTCTTTCAGAAGTGTTGGCATATTATCAAGAATGATTTGATGGCTGTGATTCTGGCATTTTTCAGTGGCCAGATGATTCCCAAATACTTTTCACATTCTTGTCTTATTCTCCTTCCCAAGGTTAAGAACCCTAACAGACTCAATGAATTTCGACCCATTAGTTTGAGTAACTTCATCACCAAGATTATTTCCAAGCTCTTATGCCTCAGATTAACTCCTATATTACCTAGTTTGATCTCTCCTAATCAATCAGGTTTTGTAAAGGGTAGAAGCATATCTGAGAACATTATGTTAGCTCAAGAAATTATTCATCAAATTAAGAAACCTACTATTGGTAGCAATGTTGTGATCAAGCTTGATATGGCAAAAGCCTATGACAGGGTTTCATGGTCATACACTTGTTTGATTTTGAGGAAAATGGGTTTTGAAGAAGTTTTCATTGACATGATATGGAGAGTTATGGCCAACAATTGGTATTCTATCATTCTTAATGGTAGAAGATATGGTTTCTTCCATTCTACTCGAGGCCTTAAACAAGGTGATCCATTATCCCCAGCCCTATTTATTTTAGGTGCTGAGGTGTTATCTAGATCTCTAAATAGACTCCACCATCATCCCCTATATCATGGATTCTATATGGAAACGAGAGGACCTCAGATTAATCATTTAAGTTTTGCGGATGACATTATAATTTTCACTTCAGGGAGGAAGGATTCTCTCAAGCTCATCATGCAGACTCTAGATGCATATGAAAGAATCTCGGGTCAACTCATCAACAAATCCAAGAGTCACTTTCTACTCCATCCTAATGCCTTCAGAACTACCTGTGATAGAATTAAAAGGTACACTGGGTTTCATCAAAAAGAAGCTCCTACTATATATCTTGGCTGTCCAATCTTTATTGGAAGGCCCAGGCTTATTTACTTTTCTGACCTCATCAACAAGATTGTGAATAAAATTACTGGATGGCAATCTAAACTGCTAAGTTATGGAGGCAAAGCCACCTTGATTAAGCATGTTCTACAATCCATGCCAATTCATATTCTCTCGGCCATTTCCCCCCCATCTACTATACTTAAACAAATTCAAAGTATCTTGGCTGATTTCTTTTGGGGATGGTGGGAAGACAAGAAAAAATATCATTGGTCGTCTTGGAAAAATCTCAGCTTTCCGTACGATGAAGGGGGAATTGGAGTTAGGCAAATGAAAGATGTTTGTCAAGCTTTTCAATTCAAACATTGGTGGGTCTTTAGAACCAAGCAAACTCTATGGGGAGATTTTCTAAGAGCAAAATATTGCCAAAGATCAAATCCCATAAGCAAAAAATGGGATACGGGAGACTCTCAAGCCTGGAAGCTGCTTATGAGGAACAAACATACAGTGGAAAATCATATTCATTGGAAAATTAGAAATGGTTCTTGCTCATTTTGGTGGGACAACTGGTTAGGAGTAGGTCCTTTGGCACAATTCACTACTATTAGCCATAGATTCGACAATGAAACCATAGCTGATTTTATGGCAAATGGACAGTGGAATGTAGACAAACTGATTCAACTTGCTCCTCAAAACCAGCTGCATACAATTCTCTCAACTCAGATACAGCTACAGCATTCCAGTTCGGACCAGGCAGTCTGGAAACTCAATTCGACTGGCCTCTTCACTGTCTCTTCTGCATGGGATATTATTCGAGAAAAAAGAACTAAAACCAAGATTAACTCCTACACTTGGAGTCGTTACATTCCCTTCAAATGTTCCTTCTTGTTGTGGAGAACTATTAGGGGTAAACTTCCCACCAACGAGAGGCTGGCCAGCTTTGGCATTGAACCAAGGGATTGCTATTGTTGTCATTCTCCAGGATCTGATACAATTGAACATATCTTTAACACAGGGCATTTGGCAAAAATAGTGTGGAAGTTTTTTGCTATTTCCCTGAGCATACCTACTGATTTCCTGCCTTTGAGAAGCATGATCATGAGGTGGTGGGGTATTCCGTATCACAATGAAGCCCACAGAATTACTCTTCAAGCTACTCCAATCTTTATTTGTTGGAGTTTGTGGAAAAATAGATGTGCAAAGAAATATGGAGGTAAGCAATCAAGCATAGCAAGGGTCAAACACCTTGTAATTCTGGACACTTTCAAGCTGCTGCACAGTATATTTCCCTACATTTCTTGGCCTCTGAATTGGAGCAGCCTGTGCAAGCTTCTGGAGAAGTGCATCCACGACAGCAAAGTTACAGCAGTCCGTTGGATTAAACCTCCTGAAAAATGGGTTAAATTGAACACCGATGGGAGTGCAGTGAATAACCCAGGCAACATAGGAGCTGGTGGTATTCTCAGGAATCACAAGGGAGAACTCCTCTTTGCATTCTCAGTCCCGTTAGGTGAAGGAACCAACAACCAAGCTGAGGTCGAGGCTGCAATATTTGGCCTAACATGGTGTGTTCAATTAAATTATAACAAGGTAATTCTAGAGGTTGATTCCCAACTGCTTGTGGACTGGTTTTTAAATAATAAAACAGTTCCTTGGCTCATTTCCTCCCAAATGCAAAGACTACAGCAACTATCCCCCAATTTCCTTCATCTTAAATGTATCCATACACTTCGAGAGACCAACTTTGTTGCAGACGTACTCTCCAAGAACAGTCATAAGCTGACCAGCCCTCAAGTTTATTTCAATACGCAGCAACTCCCCAAACTCGCAACAGCATATCTTCAACAAGACATTACAGGTATGACTAGTTTCAGAAGAAGGAAATTGAAGAGAATTAAGGAACCACCTTAAAATCATCTCCCGTAAAGAAGGATGTGTAATGGAGCTGGAACTCATTCAAATCCACCCATCATTGATCATCATATCATCATCAAGCTGGTCACACTCACATTAGGATAGTCCCTAGTTGAGTCTTTTCTTTTACTTACTTATGTAAGGGGAGAGTCTCCCTTATTTATGTTTTCCTAGAATCCTTGTATTGAGAGGAGTCCTCTCCTTAGGTGCACAGTTCTAGGTTTCTCCTTTATAGTATGGGAATGAGTCGACTAACCTTAGTAGGTAGGTAGACTTATGACCCACCATAGGATCGGAGGTTAGGTTTATGTCCCCCTCCTTGTATATTTTTTTGAACTCTTTTGAGCTTTTATTTATGCTAAGGCCTGGGGGTGTTGCTAAGCCCCTGACCCCCCCCAAGGGTCGTTCAAATAAAAATAAATAAAAAACTAAAAAAAAACTATATACTCTAAATCCTAAACTCTAAACACTAAACCCTAAGCCTTGAACACTTAATCCTAAACCCTAAACCCTAACCCTAAATCCTAAACACAAAACCCTACACCCCTAATCCATAATCCCTAAACCCTAAAACCTTAAAACCTTAAACCTTAAACCCAATAAACCCTAAGTCCTTAACCCTAAACCCTAAACCCTAAACCTTAAACTTTAATCTTTAAACCCTAAACCCTAAACCCTAAACTAAAAACCTAAAACCTTAAACCTTAACCCTTAACCCTAAAACCTTAAAC